CTCCTCCGCGGCGCCGGGGGGCGGCGGCAGGAAGAGGCCGCTGCTCACCCCGCTCTGCAACGGGCTCATTAACTCCTATGAGGACAAGAGCAACGACTTCGTGTGGTGAGGGCGATATGTCGCCGGGGGAAGCCGGGGCGCCGCCATGCCGTCGGGAAGCCTGGGAAGTGTGGAATAGCGGAGGAGGGAGCAGCGGCAGCCCCTTCTGGTGCTGGAAAGGCTGCTGCCCTCCGGGGATTGTGGCTTTGGGGTTTTCCCTCTTTTGTGCCTCTCTATCAGAAATAGTGTGGCAAGAAGGACTAGGGAAGTGATTGTCCCTTCTGGTGAGGCCACACCTCCAGTCCTGTGTCCAGTTTTGGGCCTCTCAGTTCAGGAAGGACATGGAGGTGTTAGAGCGGGTCCAGAAAAGGGCAGCGGAGCTGGGGAAGGGGCTGGAGCAGCATGAGCAGCTGAAGGAGAGGGGAGAGGGATAGCCTAGGGAGAAGTGGTTCGGGGAGGGTTTTAGCACTTTCTGTAACTCCGTGACAGTGTGTTGCAGCCAGGTGACGATCAGACTCTTCTCTCTGACAGCTAGCAACAGGACAAGTGGACACAGCCTTCATCTGTGCCGGGGGAGGTTTAGGTTGTTAGAAATCATTTCTTCCCAGAGAGGTTGATTATATATTGAAATGGGCTGCCCAGGGAGGTTGTGGAATCACCATCCCTGAAGCTATTCAGGGAACAACTGGGCATAGCACTCAGTGCTCTGGTCTAATTTACATGGTGTTATCAATGGTTGACTTGATGAAGTCATAGGTTGGACTTGATGATTTCAGAGGTCTTTTCCAGCCTAACTGATTCACTGATTTTTGTCTGGTTTTGGCCCTGTGCAGCAGCATTGCTTCCACGCTCTCTGTTTTCAAGCAAAATAAGGTTATTCCTGGCAGGTTCCTCCTTGAGTGCACCCAAGTTGTTGGAAAGGCCCGGCAGCACGAGATGTTTTCTCACAGTGTTCTGACGACACAGCAACTGTCTTGTTTTCCTGAACAATGTGACCTGGAGTGGTCTGGAGCCCTCTGATCTTTGGAAGAGGATTCAGCAAAGGATTAAGTGCCCCTCTGAATGGGACTCCAAGGAGCCTCATGATGGTTGATAGCTCCAGCAAAGCAGGCTTTGTTTGCCCATGTTTCTGGGAAAGGTTGTCTAGTTTGATACAGCAATAAGTGTTATGTCAGGCAGGCACCTAAAACCAGATTAGTAGGGAATTTTCTCAGTGATGGTTTAAACATTTTTCAGATGTTGTTTTTCTAGCATCCATCTAGAGCTGTAGCTCATAGCTGGAAATCACTTTTTGACATAATTGGTAAACTAAGGCCCATGGTTTGAGAACTGTTGGTAATTTGCAGTTTTGAAGAAAACCTATTGCTGGTGGGTTTCAAACCTCCCAGCATAAGAAGTAGTTTGATCCAGTTGGCTGGATGTGCAAAAATGTGAGAACAGGAAGTAAGGTCAGGTGTTTGCACCTGAGAAAGGCAAACAGGGAAGAGGTAGTGGGAAAAAGATCAAGTTGTAGGCGAGTCATATGTGAAAGAAAATAGTAAAAAAAAGAAGATAAGTGGACCACAACTTCCAAGATGATTTTGACAGCTCTAACTCAAGCTCTGACTTGCAGGTAAGGATTGGATGTGAGGCATCTCCCACAGGACAGGTACTGTCTCAAAACCTGTAGGCTTAACTTTACAGCTTGTAGTGTTTAGCAGAGTTGATAGGAAATATCTTTGCTACTGAAGTGAAAACCTGAAGCTGCTAAGAAATTAGTGGCATAAAAACCAGTAAATAATTCTTGTTAGGAGTAAGTAGTAATCAAAAATTACTGCTTATGACTGTATTTAGTAGTTTGCTCAGTAGCAGAATGGGGATGAAAGGACTGCTGTCATCAGCTGATGCCCTGCTCTGGCTCTAGGCCATGTTAGGTGGATTTAAGAGCTCTTGGTGTGAGCTCAGTTGCTCACAGGTTTTCTGGTCATGGGGTATGAACACAATTTCAAGTGCCCATTCTCCTCTGTTCCCTCTACTCTTACACGCTGGCAGTAGTGTTCTGCCAGCATGGCTCCCTGCCCTTTCTAGTCAGCTCTTATTTCCTATTTTGTTTTCTGTTGTAGAAATGAGGGGTTTGGAAAGGAAATTACACCCATAACCAATTTGTAGACTTGAAGTATTTTTAGATGGTTCAAAAAAGCTGAGGTTCTTGCTTTATTCCTGCAGGTAAGTACTGTGCATGCTTCAAGGAAAACATATAATTGGCTGTTTTCTCTTCATTGAGAAGCACTACTGACTGAACAAGTGAGAGGGAAGAAATCAGCCCAGTAGTACTCAGGGAAAAATGTCTTTTCTTAGGATTTACAAGAGCTACATTAAGCATACTGAAGTGTGGGTTAGAAGCTTTAAGAGCAGACAATGATTATAGTTAACTTGGGTCTTTCGCTGCTGTATATTTCTGTGGGCTAAAGGGCTTGTTCTTATTTAATGTTCTAGCTTCAAATTACAGTATCTGTCTTTTTTTATTTGACTTAGCAATACAGTTATGTAGAAATAAACCAAACTGGGCAGCTCTGGAGTTTTGAGCAATGTCCAAGAAGACAGGTGTGTGTGTATGTTAGTTTAAATAATTGATTTAAACAAGCTTTACATATCTCATTGTGAGAAGCAGAAATTTCCCCCGTTGCCTTTTTGCCTCTGTAAGGACAATTCAAGATGCTGCCAGCTGCAGCGTGCACTTGGTAATTTTTCTGAACATGAGCTGTGAGTTGCTGTTAGCCACAGCTGTAAACTCAGTGGTAGATTGTGCCCATACCAGCTGGAAAGTGGGAAAGAGTAAAGAAGTTTGGGTTAGTTTTGAACATTAAGGTGGAAATTCCCTCAACAGTATTAATATGTGCAACCTCCCTGTCTTCTGAAAGCACTGTCTCAAGTGAGGCTGAGGCTCTAGGGTAAACATTGTCGTGTGTTGCTACTTTGGGTTGTGAAATGTTTAGCATGTGTATGCTCGGGAGTTTGCAAGTGTCTCCTGTTTGTGGTGAATGTCAGTTCTGCCTGGAAATGTGTAACTATGTGCAAATAGGTCTGACTTAGTGGACAGCTTTATTATAAAAGGGAAAATTTTGTTTTTCTTAGTGCAGGATGCAGAATATAAAGGTATTTTTGTGATGCTCCTGTAGCCAGGTGTCTTTCCACTTGCCTGCAGAGTGTCTGAAAGGGACTTTTCTAGTCAGACAATTATATCCTGCCCAGCAATGTAATTGCTTAGTTTTCCCAGGCCTGGTATTAGCCCTCCCTAGCCAGTGGTTGACTGAACCTCTTTAAAACCAGTTATCTGCTTTGCTCCCTGAATGTAGTGGATTTTACCTGTCTCTCCAGTGGCTACTTCATGCCAGTCCTTGTTTCTGAGCTCTGGCACAAATCATGTGTGGAAGAGGAGGTGTTGTGTGCAGATCTGGAGATCAGCACCTAGTACCACAGCTCAGATGTGGGAAGGGCTGTATGCCACCTGGACTTGCAGGTTCATGGGTTTTTAAAACCAGTTCTTTCCTTGGTTTGTTGCCTGTTGATCCAGGCATTGGCTGAGTGTAGCTGTTCCCATGTTTGTGGTCTGGAAAGCACTTTTAGTAGGGAATATTGCAAATTTGCCCTGAAGTCACAAACTAAAACAGAGCAAGCTGTTTGCATACCATGTACAAGAAGTCTTAGTACATGTTGTTGCATTAGAGCTTCATAGTTAGTAGATAGTAACAGCAGTGATCTTTAAGCTGGCCACCTTCCATGGGAAGGACAGAGCCTGCAGCAAGGCCTGCTCTCTGATTAGTCCAGAGAGGAGCAGAATAGGATGTGGGCGCTATAATGAATCTTGTTTGCTGTTGGAGTATACTTAAATTTCATAGTGACCACTTCAGGAAGGTGTTTGTGTGGCAGTAGGGTGACATTAGCACTCTTGAAAGATGCCTGGAAAACAACTGGCAAAACTTACAGCCATGAACTTGGTTAAAATGGATGTTGAAAATGTTTGAGGTCTGCTCTGCAGAGAAAGAATGGTAAGCCTTTGCAGTGCTGGATTAAAAAAGAGTATTTATCAGATACTGATGCCTTCTTTCCTAGAGACCAGTGACATTTTTGACTTGCTGAAGTAATTTGCATCCTTTTAACCTGGCTGCTGCTTTAGACAAGTAGAGAATAAGCTACCTCGTGCACAGATGCCTTGATTTCACCATACTTCTCGTTCCCTTTTTCAGTGTATACTGCAAACTGTAGTATTTCTCAAGTCCTATCACTCCACTTCTTTCTTAACTTTCCCTTTGTGTTAGATTAGCTTCAAACAGCTGTTGCGTAGCAACTTCCATGGGTTGCAGTCAGCTTGGCTTCAGTAAGTATTAAAATATATCAATCTTGTTTTCTCTTGTAACTCAGGGAGCATTTCAGGGGAAAAAGTTCTTAATGAAAACTTCAGTACCATTAATGATGTCCCTGGTACTGAATAGCTATATTTGTTGGCTCTGATTGCTTTTTCTCAACTATTTTGCCTCTGTCACTTCTCCAGTCAAACGGGTATGAAGGAGTAGTTTGGGAACAGTGATCTCGTGTGACTGGCACGTTAGGAGGTAATCTTCCTAATTTGGTTCTAATTTGTGCTGTTCTCCTGTAGGCAGAGGAGCATTACAGCCTTGTTGTTTGCTGCAGGGCGTTATTAGGAGCATCACCTCTGGCCCTGTGGGGAATAGCAGTTTCTAGCATGATACATAGAGCATATACCTGAGTTATAGACTGTGACTAGCAGAAGGTGAAGAAGTTAAACTGTTCATCACCAGTGCCAGTGGGGAGAAACTACCCTTAGATACTCGTCTAAGCCTAAGTCTTTGACTTCCTCTCTTAAAGTCCAGCTAACAGAATTCAGAAATGCCTTATTCCCCTGCTAATAATCTGCCTGTGCTGGTTGAGTTTGCTTGTAATTTATTCTGATTAAACAGTGCCTTGAAACTAAATAACTTGAAAAAAGTGACTTGGACTTCTGAAGATGATGCTGCTCAAGAGAGGTGTAGAAAAAGGTCTGTCAGGGTGGAAGAGGGACAGGTGTGGATTAATTATTTTTGAGGCCTCTTTTGAGATGGCTCGGTGGAGAGAGTAGCATTCTGGTTTGATTTGTTTGGCTTTATGTTGTGTTTATACAGGCGATTTGGTGGAATATTTAAGACAACCTGGCTTGTATGTTAGGCTGGACAAACCCTTCATGACAGCTGTGTTTTCCAGTATGGTGATTTAGAGCAGGAGCCACAGCTTCTCCTCTATGTGCTTAAGGTATAAAAGTATTTAAGAGGTGTTTCCTCCTCCCTCCTGTTTTTAAGATTTGTTTTCTAATGGGATAACAAACATTAGTATACTCTAGAATAGATTACAGAATGGGGGAATGCCTTCTGTGGAGTGCTCTCCTTCCCTGCTTAGACAAGCATTGCTTTTTGCAGTCTGATCCTGATTTTGGGTTTTGGATGCAAAAAATACTCCTGCTTTTGCAGAAGTTGTTAACAGTTTATTAACAGCTCTATCGGTGAGAACTGTCTTGTTGGCAGGAGGTGGGAGGAGGCTGTTTCTGAAGAAAACAAGTGCTGGTGAAAGCCTCTCAGAACTGAGATTGGTGTGGACTTGAGGGAGTGAGAGGAGAGCGTTTGGATCTCTGTAAGGCATTGAAAACAAGGTGAATCTTGTGACACAGCTGATCCGTGTGTTATGTGCAGAATTGTGATGTTGCTGCTGGTGGCATCTTGCTGGATAGCTGGCCAAGACCTGGAAATGAGTATGTACACGACAGCAAATCTCACCGGTTATCAGGGAGAGCAGCTATAGGAGTCACTGGAAGTATGATGGATGCATCACTCCTCTTCTTTCATTTGTGTTTCATTTTCCTTTCAAACATGTCACAGACACTTGATGAGCCAGACTTTTTCCACTACCTGTCTCACTGGATTCCAATCTCTTGTGCTCAGGTTCCTGTGGATGTGCTTGCTTGCATATCCTTCTCTTCAGGTCCCTGCTTGGTTCTTGGCGATTCCTCACAGAGAGCTGGCTGTGCTCTGGTCACTAACTAGTTATTCTACCTTTCTCATCTTTGGCTTTGTGTCTGCCTGCTGCCTGTTGGTTTCATCCTGCTCTCCTGCAGCCTGAACCCTGGCATTGCTCTGCAGGCACACCCCCTTGTTTGCACCTTCTCCACCCACTTATTAGTTCTTGTTCTCATGACATCATTACTATTTCTGATCTGCTCTCTTTGTGCCACTTTTGAAAGTTATAGATAGCTATTGTCTGAAAAAAAAAAGAGAAACTAGTTATTGTATCATTTATTGTCTATCATTGTCTATTCATGTAAAAAAAAAAATCAGGGTTTTACAGAGATGAAGGTTCTTCTGAAGCCTTGCTTGTTGAAGATTTGTTTGGGTTGTTTGTAGGTGTTAAAAGCTTGAGTGAACACTTACTGGTTCCTAATTGTAGCAAACTGCAGTATCATTCAGAGTTCAAAGAACTGTAGATTGCCCTTTTGATCTTTAAACTGCTTGGTTGTTTTTGCACTAATATGTCCTTTCATTTTACATATAGGTGATTATTACCTAAGCAGTAATTGGGTGGTTGCTTTGAATTAATACTTTTCTTCATATTGTAACATAAAGACATCTTTCTGATTTTTGTTTTGCTTTGTTTTCAGCCCCATCTGTTTTGATATGATTGAAGAAGCCTACATGACGAAATGTGGACACAGCTTCTGGTAATATTTGGTTTCTTGTATTGCATTAAATGTCCATCTCTTACAGCATGTGCAGGCAGGTGTTGCTGTGATTCCCTTTCATTCTTCTCATTGTTTCTTTTCTGTCTTCTGTCCCTACACTGAAGAAAGAGGTTTAAATAAATTTTTAGAAGATGGGTACCTGTTAGATTAAAAAACAAATCCGAGTGTCTTAAGCATATAGTGCTGTGCCAACATATTTCCTCTGTAAAGAAATAAAATATTCATAAACTGCTGCCAACACCCACTTTCCAGAGTCAGAACATTTTGTTAATTTACCTCAATTGGCATCACCTCTGTAGAGGTGTTGGGAGCAATGCTGGCAGCTCCTCCTTGCCTTTATGCAAGACTGTGCAGAGTTTGAAGTGGCTTGTACATTGTATATTGCAATTATTTTAAACCTTGTAAGAGAGGATATGCTTCAGGCTTTCCTGTTGTATTGAATTGGCCTGGCTTCACTTACTTTTCAGTGTGTTATCTCTGGCTGTTATGAGGAGCAAATGTTTCATGAAGGAGTGCAAGAACCCTCTAGGGGAATTTCTGGAACCAATTGCTGTTTCTCTTCCCCTCTAGGGATTGGTATAAATGTTGAACCATGATGTCCTACAGTGTCCTCTCTATGTTATACTCTTACAGTGTCTGCTAATTAGAACTAAGCCTTCTAAGAAGTAACCTTATAGTAGTATAAAGCACTTTCTCTAGCAGCAGATTCAGGTAACTTTCAGAAGAGTTTCAACTTGCAGCAGGTAAGATAACAGCCGATTCTGTGCCCTCTGTGGTAACACTTGATCCCTGTGACCTGTAACTTTTTAGAGGTCCAAGATGAGAAACATTGAAATACCTTTATTTAGGAGGAGTGGAGCAATGTTACCACCTGATGTCTCTTATCAAGAGCTGACATCCAGCAGGTTCTTAATGAGATGCTTAAACCTGATGCTGAAGTGCATCTTCTCGTTCCTCTGTCCATTCAAGAGTGAGCACCTCTGAAGTCACTGATAGTGAGAAAAGCATCCATGGGGAGAAATATGAGAAGTTGGGGAAGGTGTTTCCTCTGCTCAGTTACCTAAAATGCTTTTAATGTTGATTTGCAAAGTATTTGGCTAATCTGGAAGAGCTGCGTTTGAGTAATTGAATCTGTTTGCTTCCTCTGCCTGTGGAAGTGGTGGGGAGCATGAATTTGAGATGGTATTGTGGCTGGAGTACCCACATTGCAGTAATCCTCAGGGAAATAAGAGTGAAGTACTTGACTACATTTTGTAATCCTTGCCAGAAACCTTTGCTTTCTGCTGTAGCACACTCTGAGTTCAAACACTGGAACATTTTGACTCCACTGTAGGTTGTTGGCAGCACAGCTGTTAGCTGGCAACACACACACAGCATCAGCACCTTGTCTAAGGCTGTTATTATTTACCTTGTGCTTATGCTTTGTTCCTTCATGAGAGCTCACTTGTTTTGTTTTTTGTTTTTGAACAGCTATAAATGTATTCACCAGAGCCTGGAGGACAATAACAGATGTCCCAAATGCAACTATGTTGTGGACAACATAGATCATCTTTATCCCAACTTCTTAGGTGAGCTTTAGGCTTGCTTGCATGAGAAACATCTTAGTTGTTAAGGAAGGCAGGCACTTGTAAATTTGTCCTGTAAATTACAGTCTTCTGGATGTTGAAAACAAAATCCAAATATCAGCCCCTTGGTTGTCATTTTTATATTAAAAAGGTTAGTAGTATAAATTGTTAATACTGCACTGCCTCCAGCAGTTCTACGTGCTGAGTGACAGTAGTGAGATTAACTTGCTGCTTTTTCCATACTATGAAAAGCAAAACTGTTTTTCTTCTGGCTAGAGATGTGAATCTCTTTATTTTTGTTTTCTTACACTCTTGTCTGTCTAATGATAAAGAACATGCCCTGTTTACAAAGCTTGGACACTGAAAGGGTGGAGGCTGTATTAGAAACTGCTATTTTGGCTGCTGTAGTGAGGCCCATATGATGGGTATAGGTGCAAATTGGATACAGAGAAAATATTCGTACATATACCTATATGCAATCCTGATTGCTTCTTAAAGAGGGAGAAAACATTGCTAGGTGGAAATACAGTTTAAAACTTAGTTTTGTGGAGAAAAGATTAAAGGAATCACATTGCAGTGTGAAAAACCTAATTAAAGCAAATCTTGATTTCATGTGCCGAGATACCCATTTCTGAAGCATTCTTGGCTACCGTGGCTTTTCAGACATTTATTATTAAATGGGTATCTTGATTTAGACCTAATCATGTTGTGCTGGAGATGGTGCTGAGGCAGATCTTGGAGTACATGTTGGGCCAAAGAGTGTGTTAGACACATACCCTGTGTCTAACACTATAGATACAGTATTGTATATGTATACTATATATACATATATAGATACATATATATACATATATAGATAAAGTATCATGTAACTACTACTACTATCATGTAACTACTAAATTAAAGCAGAAAGGCATCTTTACAAAGGCACATAATAATTCAAGGAAAAGTTGTTCTAATCAGCTGTGCTTATTTTCTTGGCCTGTAATAGAATCTTACCTGATTTATCTCCCTCATACTCTTCTGTGATATACTTTTGCCTTGGAGTTGAAAAACTTTCTCAAGGAGGCATGGGTGTTTAGAAAAAGGAACTGAATCAATTTGGAGAATGTGTTGGCTTTTTTTTTTTATTGATGATTTTTAAGGAGTCTTTATATATGTTACAAAAAACCACCAAGTAATAAATTGATAAGGAAAAAAAGTGGAGACATCGTCTACTATTTTAATTACTGATAAACATCTTACTGTGAAAGGAATAACTAAAGTGAAAATATTGAGATAGAATCTTTCACACTGGTTTGGTGAATTTTAAATCAATCTCTTTGACATCTTATTTATGTTTTTTAGTTAATGAATTAATTCTCAAACAGAAGCAAAGATCTGAGGAGAAAAGACTCAAACTGGACCATTCAGTGAGTAGCACCGTATGTTCCAACTTTTTTACTTTATATTTATTTAACGATTCTGTGCAGCAGTTGTAATTATGTGTCTTAACTGACAAGTGATTGAACTGTTGAGCTGATGCTTTAACTGGCTTTAAAGGGGAATAATATGAACACCAGTGGCAGTAGATCCCTTCTACCCTGTTAACTCCTTTTCTTCCCACCAGCAGTATCTGTAGAGAAGCTGTGTTAGCATAGGCAAGCGCCCTTTGATGTATTGCATATAACCTGGGGAACTGCCCATGGAAGTACACTTGTTTAGAGATAATAATTTTCATTCAGTGTTGGAAATTATAGCTACAACAAGAGCAGTGAATGATTAGAAGTGCCATGGGCTTGTCTGATCACATGTGTGTTCTATCAGGAAACTGGAGGAATGCTAATACCAACCACAAGAGGGAGAAAGATACGTTTGGAGTGTGGTGTTCTGGTTCAAATGCCACATAAAACTGCCTGTGTTATTGTCTAGACTTGCTTCATGTCACAGAATCAGAGCAGGATCTGCATCCTCAGTTCATCAGAACCTCTTCACAGCACCTGTGGATGCTCTTATATGTAAAGATCAAAAAGAATATATGACATGAGCCAAAAAACTTGCATATTTGTCTTACTGTGTCTGACATCCTTGTCTTTTGTAATTCATAAATAAGATTGCAAAATAATATTAAAAATCACAGAGCTCCTGTTTTTAAAAACTTATATTAAAGTGGTATGAATTTAGGGGCTGTGTTGCAGAAGCCGGTGCTGTCAGTGTTTGAATTTCAAAGAGCATTCTTTTAAAGATTCAGTGGTTTACTCACAGTAAGTTTTTATATTCATTATAAAATATGCATATTCCATATTTAATATAAAATATGCATAAACTAGATATTACTTGAACTGCACACAGCTGACCTGAAGGCATGCACAATAGCTTCTTGGAAATTTGTTTTAGTCTTTAAAAGCTATGCTTGTAGATGCACCTGTTCTTGATAACTATCAATAAGTGAACAGTATACCATAACTTCATGCCCAAAACAGTGTTGTCTACCTTTTGGCAGCAAATAAAAATTAGACATCCATTAAAAGAGTAACATTGCTCCTGTACCCCTTCTTTAATGTGTCTTGTATTACTTTTGTGGTAGTAAGGGAAGTCATCCAAGACACATTGCAGCAAATACAATAGTCATGGTCTCATTAAGAAATCTTGTTAAGGCATGTTTGAACATTTGAGTAGTTGAGCAGTAGTACAATTAACTAGTGCATTAATCTGTTAAAATGTCTCAAATCCTGTTCACTTGCTTAAAAATTATGGGGTTTTTTCCCCAGTTACTCCAGATTGAAATTGAGTTTGTGGTGTGAGTAGTTTCATAGGTTCTGTTGAGCACTGTATAAAAAGTTGTGCGTTCTTTATGGATGTTACATATTTATTTTTCTTAATCTAGTTAATACAAAAAGGCTACAGCTTCTGAGAAAATATGTGATTTAGCCTGGATGGCATTCCTAGTGCTTGCCAATTTAAATAACTTGATTTAGTGTCACAGCTTTTTTAGGACAGGATTTTTTAATTCAGCTTTGTTTTTTAGATGTTCTTTAGGCCTCTCAGCTGTTCCTGTGGGTTCCTGAGGCTTTTTGATATAAGGCTGTGCAGGCATTAACCTATTATTCAGGTTTTCCTGTGCTTAAAGATACTTTTTTTTTTTCTTTTTCTTTCTTTCTTTTTCTTTTTTTTTTCTTTTTTTTTTAATGGAGAAGAAGAGAAAAGAGCCTTCAAGGAAAGAATGGGCTGTGTAATAGTATTTTGGTCCTCTGAGGAGTCCTCCCAGCTTTCACATTTCCCTTGCACTTAGGAGGAGTAATGTGAGAGGTGACAGTAGAAAAAATAAGCTGATACTACCTTCTTTGATTTGAGTTTAGCATGAGGGTTTTACCTATTACTTGGGCTTAACAAATTAAAAGGTATTGATGCATAACAGTATTTCAGATGTAATGCAACTAAGCTTGGATAAATGTGGAGTTTTTTATTTTCTCCCTAAAGAAACATGTTCTCAGAAACTGGGGCACAAATCAGATAAAATTGTTGCTATGAAATAATCTTTTCCCAACAGCAGCAGCAAATATGCTTTCATGAAGCACAGATCTATTCCAAATATGATAAGAAGTTCTGCAGTAGGTCAGAGGAGCCATATCCTGTACACATGGCAGAATTTGGAATCTGGATACATGAAAACTGTTTTGCAGTTTTAGAAAGGGATGAAATATTGCCATGTTGCTTTTAATATCTGTTGTTGGATAGCTTATATAGCCCTGGATGGCTTGGACTCACCATCTCTTCATCTCTTATTCTCTTTTTAGAATGGCCACAGGTGGCAGATAATTCAAGATTTGTTGGGAACTGACCAAGACAATCTTGACTTAGCCAATGTCAACCTGATGCTGGAGCTGCTGGTGCAAAAGAAGAAGCAGTTGGAAGCAGTAAGAAGTTTCTCTTATTTAAATGAACATTGTGTATTTAGAAGCTTTTTCTTTTGATACCTTTTCCTGGAAGCAAGATTCTATAGGTGAATTAAATGCTCAGTATTTTCTCTTGTGTTTTGGTGTTTAAAAGATGACTGTTTTGCTGACCTTTGTAGTGAAGTAACATTTCAGCTGTGATGCCCATAACATGCTTATAATGCTGTTGCTGGCAGGGTTGTATAAACAGGCAGGGAAAACAGAAAAGGATAAGAGAAAATGACTTGGAGAACACAGAAAAGCACGTGAAGAAGTTTGCTAATTGTCTGTTGCACAAGTAAATGTCAGATCTTTGAGTAATAAGCATGAAGAAGTCCAGAATAGAGATTAAATAATAAACACAATGAGCGTGTGAAAAGGATCACACATTTTAGTTTCTGCTGGAACCCATAGAATCTGAATTACCACCTTTCCTTGAAGGTTTTTTTCAGTGTTTAATGCTTGAAAGAAAAGTTCAGATGTCTTGTTTATGTAGCTGATTTGAAGATTTATCCAATATTGAAGCAAGCTGTTCCTATGATTTAACTGGAATATAGTTGGTTTGGGTTAGTTCTCCATGTATTTGGCTACTCTGCTTTTCATTTCAAGTGATTGTATTCAAGTTATGAGCACCAGACCTTATAAACTAGACTGGATTATTACAGAATTTGACCCAGTGAATTTTGAGTAGGAGAGTTTTAACAGGATTTTAACAGTGCTTTAAAATAGGTGAGGAAAAGTTGTATTGGGAATATCTTAACTTATTCACTCTTACAGAATCAATATTTACAACTTGTGGTTCTGATGGAAAGTAAGTAACCCCAAAATATGCTTGACTATTAGCAGAACTGTTATGTTGCCTTATTGCATGGGCACTTGTGTTCATTGTGGTTCAGTGAAGTTATGGATGGGGAAAAAGACAATAGAACTTTTTTCTCTGTAAGCCTTTTTGTATAATTTGTGACAAATCTGAAGCAAAGAAGGCATATGACTGAATGTATGAATATTTCATAGTATGAATATCTTCTAAGGATGCTAAACCTAAAAAGTGAAACCACACCTCACATTCAAAGAATAATTTGAGTTTTTCTTGTCTAGCTTTACTTGCTTCACTTTTATTATTGTCAGATCGTGGGGAATAAGAAAATAATCTCAGAAAAGTAGTATTTTTGCATTAAGTGTCATTATTGTTGCTGTCCCCTTGCTTTTCATGGATTTTGTGTGCTCCTATGTCTTCATCCTTTTTGAGTGTATGTTTACAATCCTTTAATAATAAATATTTCAATAGGTTGTGAAAATAAGTCTTGGAATGCTGGGATATGATTATGGCTATATTAATGCTGGAATATAGGTCTTAGTTTTCTTTCCTCTTGTGGTTCTTTTTATCTTGCCCTGTCAAGTTCTTGCCTAGTTTGGGTGAAAATACCATGTTGATGGCTGAGGTAAATAACCTGCTGTGAAAAATACTAGAAAGGGATGGTTTAGTTTCATCAGTTGAATAGTCTTTCACTCTGGAGAAATCTTCAGGAGTAACTTCTGCATAAGCATAAATGTAAATTTTGGGGAAGTTTTTTTTTTATATGAATACTTTATCCTTTAGTATGTTGATCATGAGGTGGATGTTAATGATCCTCCAGGGTAGAAGGTGAGTCTGTGAGGAACCTGAATTCCAAAATCATTCCAGGTGCAGTAGCCAAAGAAAAAAGAAACATTTCAGCTTATTAGTAAGAACTGTTACAAGGGCTGTTGCCTTCACAAAAAAATTTGTGAACCAAACAAAACCTTAAGACCTGTGAGATAAAGTAAAACTACCATTTTTAAAACTTCGTTAAGCTATTTTTCTCTTGCTAACCTCTAAATGAGGGTAGTTTCTGTGTATTTCTGTGTAAAACAAATATTTGTTTTTCTTAATGTATATGGAAGAGTTACACTTCTTTATTTACTGTGTTACAGGAATCCCATGCTGCCCAGCTACAGATCCTTATGGAATTTCTTAAAGTTGCCAGGAGAAACAAACGAGAGGTAACTTGCTTTGTGTTTCAGTGGGTGAGGTGGTGGTGTCTGCTGCTTTCTCCCAGTGCATTTTTGTTGAAGTGACATGTTAGCCTGGCATTATTTCTGCAAAGAATAACTCAAGGCGTGTTGGGGGAAATCTGAGACAGAGGACACATGGGTTTGAAGGAAAATTAATCTCTTTATGTGTGACAGCTTCAATTTTTAATCATTTGCCTTGTTGTCTCACGCTGGTGAAGCATGTGGGAATATAGATGCTCCTTGGTGTACATGTACATCAAGTTCTTGAAACAAGATTTCTTTTCCCAACACAGAAGAAAATCAAAGATTGGGAAGGAGTGAAATTATTTTCACTACCAAGTTTTTCTCTTTAGTTTATCAAATGCCATGACTAATGTGGTGACGTAAAAGAATTAATATTCTGTGCTTTTTCCTTATTTGTCCTAAAATTAGTGTCTCAAGGAATATGAGAGAGTTCTATAAGCACATACACAGTCTTTCATGGTTTGAGGCTCTTCCTTTATAAGGTCATGCAGTGCATAAATACTAATACCACAAATAGCCCAAAAACCTAGAAAAATGATCCCGCAGTAGAAGGATGATCTCTCTTGTGGTCCATGGTTTCCGAGAAGTGATGTGAAGAACAGAAGACCCAACAGTGTATCTACAAGGTCAAACTAGAAACCATGTAAATGTGATGGGTATAAGAAGCCTTGTCCAGGAAGGATTGAGGGTCTGGTTATGGAGTCATACCAAAGCAAGTCTGGAGTCTGTCCACCAACAGATAGGCATGGCCAAAGCCAACAATGGTTGTGGAAATTCCAAAGAAGGGCAAGAAAGCTGATGAAGGGTCTGGAAAACATCTTACAAGGAGCAGCTCAGGGAGCTGGGGTTGTTCAGTTTGGAGAAAAGAAGGCTCAGTGGAGACCTCATTGCTCTCTAGTTACCTGACAGGAGGTTGTAGTGGGAAGGGGTGGGGGGAGTCAGGTTCTTCTGCCATATCTCAGGTGAAAAGATGGGTGGAAATGGCCTCAAGTTGCACCAGGGGAGGTTCAGATTAGATACTAGAAAAAATCTTTTTCACTGAGTGGTCAGGTATTGAAATAAATTGCCCAGGGAGCTGGTGGAGTCACAGTGTCTGGAAATGTCTAAGTGGCATCTGGATATGGACTGGGGATATGGTTTAGGGGTTAGTATGGTGATGCTGAGGTGGTGGTTGGACTCTTTCAGGCGGTAAAGGTCTCTTTCAGCCTTGATTCTATGAGTTTCAGTACCCGGGAATCCTTTCCCATCTTATCTCTATCTCTTTGGCTTTTTTAAAGGATAACATCTCCTTTTAAGGCTCAAGAAACTTAATTTTGGCTGCAGATCCTCTGAAAACAGGCTTTGGAACATCCTGAAGGCAATTGGGATGTATAGTTTTTCAGATCCTCCACATCCCTGCTTATGTACTTACTCCCTCTGTTGCCAAGACTTCCTCTGTTTTATTTTGTAGCCCCCTTTATATTCCAGTGTGAAATGCAGACTGTCACATCTGCAAAGACTTCTGTGTAGGCCTGTCAGTTCTGTCCTTGCCCTATTGCTTAGTGTCTGGCCTTGCCATTTATTTTGAGGGAAATGAGGACTTGTCAGACTTGTAGCAGTTTTTGCTTTCGCTTGATAAGGGTAAGAAAGATAAAAATCAGTGGGTAGATGCCTGCAAAATACAGACCAGTCAGGATAGTTTTACATATCAAAATTTGTCTTGGGCATCAGTTTACACATAGAGCAAATTACACCAGTTGATGCTTCCTTTTTGGTAAGTGACAAGGTCCTCCCTGTAGCTGGTGGAGCTTGTGGCAAACACTCTTTATGGAGGGAGTTTTGTGGGGTAATAGAGGAATTACTGTTTGGTTTATGACAGTGGTGATGTATCCAGACTGCTGACAGCCTGAGATGCTGGCTTGGAAGGTGAGAGGTTGTGGGGGGTTAAGTGACCACATTAATAATGCAGTAAAGGTCAGAGCTTCAACAGTTCACTGTAGTTTATTTTGATGCTGTGAGAGGTGGCTGTTTACGAATTGAGCTCAAGGAACATGTGTGGACCCTGGAACAATCATCTATTGCATGTCATTGTGAGTCATACTAGCAGCCTTATTATGGGGAGGAGCATGACCTTTTTTCCTTTCTTAATTCAGACTTGATTTTAGTAAAGATACCTGCAGAGTAAATGCAATTTCACTCAGTATGTCATAGCTGTAAAGATAAGTTCTTAATAAAATTTTTTTTTAATGTGTGGTCCTGAGTTCTTATTTCTAATTTTTGACTTAAATGTTTAAAGGAACTCTGATAACTTTGCTTCCTAAAATGCCTCTTTGAATACTATTTATTGCAAGATTTTATTAGCAGTTTTCATTTACTACATATGGCAAGTTCTTACATAGGGACTAAGGTACTTTTGTAAGTGAATAAAGATATTGCCACAGAGTTGATGTCCCTGTATAGTATTTCACATCTTCAGTGCAGATGATTGTAACCACTTGTAACCCGCCTTGCCAACTTCATTCATAAGTTATGTATTTTTTTCTCTTGCATTAATGAAATTGTGGCTTCTGAGCGTACTGGAGTGAGTTTATAGCTAGAAGAAAACTATCTTTTAGACTTGTACTTCAGAATATTGGTGCAGTCAAGTCGTTTGACAAATGCTTCTTTGTCACCTTTTCATAATTTCTCTAGAAGATAAATGTAAGGTTGAGCACCTGCAGCAGTTTCTATTAGAAATCCTGTTTTGATCTGGTTTTTTTCAAAACATTTTTTTTAAATGTTGGTCCTGTCAAGCTGGAATTTACTGCATGTTTTTTGCACAAAGGTGTTTGCAAGCCCTTTTTCTTTTGAAGTTTATGTATTTTGTTTTCTTTTTGACCTAGAGCAATATGGCAAAAAATCCTAAATCCTTGGCAATAGTAATAGCAAAAAGAAATGTCTTACTTTAGAAAAGATTGAAAACAAATGGCTAAAGCTTAAAAATACTTCTTCACACACAACAGATAGTTTTGGAGGGGAGGAATGTATTGGTCATTCACAACAGTTGGATACCTCTAAGGCAAATTTAGCATGAGTGCCTTGTGTGTGCACAGTTAATTGAGTGCACACTCTGCATTTTTTATTTTTTTAATTTTTTTTTTAAATCCAGTTTCCTCTTCTGTTGAAATTAAGGACCCTAAAAGTCTGGAAGGTTAATGTTAATAATGAAATATTATGTCTTGGTGCTGGTGGGTGTTTATTACTGTTTTCCAGAGAAATCAAATGTAGACTGTGGCTTTTTAAAATTCTTGCTTTCATACATGTGTTGTATAAATGCTTTCACAAATTTAACTTTGTTAGTTTTTAAATGTTCACGTGTTCTTTCATCTTGAACACTTTGTGAGAGAGCTGATTTTATCAGTTAATTCTCCCCACTTGTACATTCAGTACTTTAAAGAAGAGGCCTTGCTAACCATGTCTGGTCACGATTTGAATGTCTCCAAACAGTTAGACACCACCATATACATCATATAGATAATTTATTCTGAAATAATATTAGCTCAGCTACCTGATGCTATTTCTGTCAAGCAGCACCATTGCTTACTGAAGGAGAATACTGAGCTTGGTGATTAGTATCACAAATCAAGTTCTACACAGGTGCTATTCTCTGGGTGCATTCATGTTTCCCTTGGCGTATGTCACTTCATTTTTATGTTCTGTGGGCTTCTTCTTTCTAATAATGTGAAGTCTCTCGTGTCTAACAAACAAGGCCTCTTTGATGTCTGCTAATGCATAAGGCTGTTTTTTTTGCTGGTAATCATCATGGGACAGAAAAGTAATCCTGAGGTGTCTCAGACTTGTGGCACTGAATGCCTACTCAGCATTTCAGAATCATCATTGTTCTTTGCACCGTCAAATCTTAAATACTAAAAATAAGAGGAGTTATTGCTGGGAATTACAAGCATGAATTCTCCAGGGATATCCATTACCTTGTGTTAATCACTTCACCTGTCAAGCCTTATGTTCTGCATGTACACACATGGATGAACTAATGAGTAAGCAAGAGGAGGTGACAACCAGAAATCAGTCATGCTCTTCTGTTGTCATGTGGTCTTGGTTACATTTCAGAACTGCTGAGGAGAATTTATAGCTGAAGTAATCTGGTCCCTATCCAATGCACTTACCTGGTGTTTTAAATCTATTTGCATTTCGAAGTTACTGAATGAGAGATGTTCCAGAAACAGTGATAAGAAGCCCAAGGATACAGTGAACGTGTGAGCAGCAAACTAAAAATTATCGCAGTGATAGCAGTGTATGACAGGTGTCTCTCCTTGCTGCACTGGAGAGGACTTGCAAAGAAAAAGGCTAAGTAGCACCTACTACTGATGTATTAGACTCAAAGGCAATTAGTCTAATTGTTTAGGCAGCTTTGTTCCCTTCACCAGATGTCCTTACATCATGAGGCTTTTCTGTCTGACCCTATCACTAAGCTTCCAGAGCATATTTCCTCCATACTGTAGGATTTAAATGAGGGAGAGGAATATTCAAGGTAAGAAACAGCCTTTACCAGCCTGGCATCTTCCTTCTCCTACCTTTGGGAATCCTGTGTGTTAAACAACCTGGATGTTCTCAAGCCTTTCTGTTAGCTCTTCCCAGTTATGAGGAAACATTTATCATTTGGAGTAAGTATTGATCAGAGAGAAAAAATATTCTCGGCAGATAAATGTGCTGTAGATGGACTCCACATGTTTAAGAGGCTTGAATGCCATATTTCACTAATGAAACATGTGGAGGCTCAGATGTTCTTGTCTTCATACCAACAAAAGCCTTGCACCTACTTCTAGTTGTGTAGAGACATTGTAACACAGAGGTATTTGGTCAAAATAAGTGATATTTGCAATTAATTTTTAAGACTAAAATTTCTCTGAGGTGTGAAGATGACCTTCATGCCATAGTTGCCCTGTATGTTGTCGAGGGCTTTGCATCCAAAGTAATAATCAAAAGAAAACCCAGAGACAGAGAAGACTTCCAGAGAGAGAAACTGATCTTATTGTGCGTTGTCATTGAGGTATTGAATTCTACAGATAGAAATTAATTTCACTGGCTACCTTCAGAAAAGTTTCAGCTGTTGATAGTGAAGTTTACACTGTGGTTTGTTAAAGCAGTACTTGGTGGAAGAACAGGAAGTAGGAAGGTGCTGATGTTGGATGGGTGAAGCTGCAGGACAGAATTAAGGGTTTATTTACAATGACTACCTGGTTTATCCTCCTCGGATGGGCAGATGATAACTTTTGCTTTGTCTTGGTTGGTGTAATGGCTTTGTGTGTCTGGGAAAATGATGTTCTCTCTGGTAATAGGCTCATCTTTTTGTCTGGATCTATGGTGTATACTGTGATGACTGCACAGGGAGTCTGGATCAGAGCCTGGAAGGTGTGTTACTGAACAAAACATGGCCTGTGAGCTTCCAAAAAGTGTGAATCCAAATGCTCTGTTAAAACTGCTTGTTTGAATAGTGCTGGCTGATTTTGCAGTATTTCTGTAGAAAATAACTCTTGTTCTTTGCTTGTGCTTTTTCTAGAATTGGAGACAGTTGGGCAAGGGTCTATGGCTCCTTCCCTTGTGCATTTTTCTAGGCTGAATCTGTGCCACTGGTGAGCTTTTAGTTTTTTGCAAGCACTTAGAACTGGCACCAGGAGACCCAGTCAGGACTGCTTGTTGTCCATGCTGTGCAAACACACAGCAGGAAGCTGCTGCTTCCCAAGGGGCCCTTGCTCCAGGAAAAACAGGAAGCTCCAGGATGAAACCTTAGTGCTGTATCCAGATAGGTTTGTCAGTAGATGGCCAACCAAAAACAAAATGACCGTGACTTAACTTCAACATCTGAAATCCCCTTTCCAGGATTATAAGAACCTTTTGAAATCGTAGCTTTTCTTTTGTTTATGTGCCCATATGTGAAAAATGAGACCAGAATGTTGTACATCTGCTTACTGTAGTTCATTCACTAAATTTAAAATTGAGGTTTAACCAGCTAATTAAGGACCTCCTCCTTGTCCTTATTGGCCTTTTAATTTCTGGGAAAGTGTCTGTGTCTGAAAAGAGAATTTATAGTATGTGGTTCTCTCTAAGCATACATTTCAGTGTTCATTGGAAGTGCTTTTGCTGACTCAATCTAAAGTCTGACAGGCATGATTCTGCCCATCACTGGGACAGGACTTGGCTTGCTTTCTGTGCCCAACAGTGAAAATTAAATTAAGGGCCCTTAAATCTGAATATACTGAAAGAACTATAATTCATTTAGGCTTCCTTAAATGTCCCTCAAAGGCTGGCAATTATAAATCAGTATTCTCATTTTTCAAAGTTTAATTGGAATGAATGTTGATTGATTTAAGGTTTTTGATTGATTAAAACACTCAAACTAACATACCAAAAACCCAAAGGTTTCAGTGTGGACATTAATTCAGTTTATGCTGATAGCACACGAAGACTCCCTCCTAAAACAAGCATGAAACAATCTTCCCTGCTTTCTAGAGTTGCCACTGTTGGGTAAGTTTGTGGTAGGTTGTAACTAGAAGGAAGAATTGGTAAATAAAATTCCACATCTCATGCTCTTGGCTGTGTGCAATAGTTAATGAAAGCTGGCCAATAAAAGATCTCTGCTCTTGTGCCTTTAAAAAGTATCCTGTTTATGTGATGGCAACAACTATCAATTATTTTTCAGACATCCAGTTTGGATGTGAGCCAGTACATTGTAGAATAGCTGATTTCCTCACTGTAATTTTGGAACTTGTAAGTGGTTTTGTAACTTCTTTTTAAATGGGATTTATGAATGTGGGGGACTTATGGTACTTGCTAGAGCTGAGTTCAGGCAGGACCCGTGCTGTGCAAGTGTCACTTAACTTTACCACTAATCTTGGAGCTGGAGCACCACCTGCTATTCTGGCTGTAGGTTTCAGAAGTGAAAATGGAATTATCTGTTATGGTGTAGTGATTTGTAAATTATCTGTGGCCGTCTAGTTCTAAACCATTAAACTTCTGCTGTCTGGGCCTCAAATGTAAACTGAAACCTTCAGAGTGCAGAGATTAGGATACATTTATATTGTCATCTCATTCAAAGAAGCAGCCATGCTAGAAACAGGTATGGACCTAGTAGTCCTTTCTTCTGTTTTCAGAGACAAAAGCTGTTGTTAGTGTTTAAAAGGAAAATTAAAATGCTGGTTTATTTAATACAGAGGACACAGATATTTGGAATGCTTTACTACAGAGAAGTTTAAATTGTGCTTTTTGTTTAAGCAAAACCTTCCAACACTTAAAGGATCAAACTTAAGCACTTGAGTAAATAAGTCTTTGGGAGTAGCTTGCCCAATACTCATTGGAATATGTCATACTAAGAATCATGTCTTGCCAAACTAGTAACTTTGGATTTGGACAATTTCATATTCTGTTGTAAAGCTGAAAGTATAAAACTTTGTTTTGTCCTTGCAGAATGTGTTATGCTTAAGCTTTCAGTGGACTTAACTCAGCAAATGCTTCTGGTCACAGGCCACATTGCTGCTTGTCTGTAAATTTTTACTGGGAGCTGAGGAGAGTCATGTGGACTTCCAGGTCTCCATGTATGTATTACATTTATGTATGTCAGTGAACCAGACTTGGACTGGAGCCGAGTTTCATCAGGAGCCCTCACCTAGAGGAGTGTGTGTGTGTGTGTTTGGGCCTTGCAAGGCTGGGTTTAGGCTCTGTGGGTGTTTGGGTGGGACACAGCTGCTGAATAAGCAGGTGAGGAGATGATGTCATTGCTTAGGTGTAAACAGTTGTCAAGTCTGTGGCTTCAGTTGCTTGAGGTGAGTGAAGCCAGCTTGCTGACTGACTAAAAACCTGGAAGGTATTGCATGTGGCACAAAGAAGGGGAAAGGAAATGTTGGCTGGTGAGAGGGGGTGTCTCCTTCTGGCCCTTTCAGGTGTAGCCCTCAAATTGACTGGAGTTTATGGTGTAATCCAAGGTAAGTATCACACCTTTGGGAGAAGTGATACCTTTATACCAGGTGCTTGCTCAGTACCAGGAGTAGATCTTGCTCTGGTCATAACAGGTTTTTTCCAAGCCAAAAACTTAATGACAGCGTTTAAATTGGCAAGTGACAAATTAGCAGCTAGGATGAGAATTATCTTGATACCTTTTAGTAAAACATTTTGTATTTAGTTGAAGGGTGAAATGATCATTGTCCTTCATTGTGTTTTCTTCTAATTGTGACAGAACAAGTAGGAATGGTTTGAAAGTGAAAGAGTGTGGGTTTAGATATTAGGAAGAAATTGTTCCCTGTGAAGGTGGTGAGGCTCTGGCCACAGGTTGCCCAGAGAACCTGTGGCTGCCCATCCCTGGGAGTGTTCATGGCCAGGGTTGGCAGGGCTTGGAGCAGCCTGATCTAATAGAAGGTGTCCCTGCCTGCTTTATTTTATATATGTTCTCAGTGTGCTCCTTTTTGAAGGCAGGGGAAGGGTTGCATTCACACAGCAAATAAGGAAAACTGGGGAGGAAGAGATAAGGGGGGAAGCTAACATTCTGTATTTCAGGGGTACATCTTGGGTTATACCATTTTTCTAAATGCATTACAGCACCTGCCCATGGCAGGGGGTGGAATGAAATAATCTTTAAGGTCCTATCTAACCCAAACCACTTTGTGGTTCTGTACTCAGTGCTTGCAAACTAGTTATACCTTGCCTGAGACATATTAGAGGAACATAATGGTATTATTTTGAATAATGTATGTCTCTGTGACTGACATCAGAATACCTCCTGCTCTTGTTTTGCATTGTTTCAAAATAACAGCTTTGTCTTGAATGTGGTGTGTGTGCACACTTACATTAATCTGTGCATTTGAACTTCTTGCCTGGTGACTTCTGAATTGTGTAGCACACCAGCAAAGATAGTTCAGGTTCCTGTCTGGAAAGATTGTAATTTATCTTGGTGGTGGTGCAGTGCAGATTGATTTAGACTTCTCCCATTCTCTTATCCACAGCAATTGGAGCAGATCCAGAAGGAGCTAAGTGTTCTGGAAGAAGATATTAAACGAGTAGAGGTGAGGTACCCAGACATTATTCTGACTCTGGCAATTTTTCATTTTCATCAAGCTGTCTGCCTTGCTGTGAGGCTGCTGAGTTAAATTTATGGCATTTAAGTCAGTAATGGGAAAATGAACAGATGATGCTCTTTCTTTAATTTGTTCATTTAGCTGATGTGTGCAGGCTGCAGTTTGGTAGCTCTTATATAATAATTTCTTTATGTTGGTAGTAAGTATTTCAGAGTACTTGCTAGAAATCAGCAGCTGGTATATTGATCAGGACTTAAGATTTTTCTGTGTTGCTGGCTGTTTGCACAGCCTGTTTAAACCTTAGCAATGTGCAAGTCTTAAAATGGAGAGGTGTTGGGGACTCAGAAGAGGGTTGTTACACAGAGACTGGGCAGGACCAAAACCAGCTTCTGCTGCATGTCAGATCTGATTTCTGCTACCTCCTGGCATAGTTCTCTTAATTCCTTAATGACGGGAATCTCTTGACATTTTTGCTAAGAATTATTCTCCAAAAATTTGGGACCTGGCCAGTGCAATCTTTCTGTCTTCACTGGGTCTTTAGGTTCCTCTTGGTCCTTTCCTCTAATCATTCTAGTGTATAATCTTGCAGTAGGAAGCTGTTGTTTCAGGACACCTCTCAAAATATAATTCCCTTAAAGCTTCTTGGGAATCAGTTTGCTGGTCTGCTTCTCACTTCTTGCTTGAGCAGTGAGCCTGTGTTCCCAACTACCTCCCAAAAAACCTTTTAGATTTCTTTGTACAGTTAATATGTGTGCTGATGAATTAGCGAAATATAAGTATGACTGACAACTGCAAGAATTTCCATTTATCTGATAGCCATTAGGAATTTTTTTCAGACCTCTTTTCCTAAATGTTTCTCAGCTTTTGTGAAATAAATACACCTTAGCATGTTTTCTTCAAACTGGTAAAATAAGTATTGAGATCTTCCCATAATCTGTGGGATCTCTCAAAGAGCATCCAGCTACCTGTTTCTCTGCTCTTTCATCAGGCATTTCAGTGGGCTGCAGCTGGGGTGTACTCCTGGGGTATGATGGTGACCTTGGCTCTGACCTCTAAAGCCTGGGATCTCTCTTGTCACAAATATCTTTCTTTCTACCTACCAACTAATAGGCACCTAGTGGGAATTTGAAAGCTCAAGTAATAATTGTCCTAAGAACGCTTTGCCCCTCAACTAATGAGCTGATGCATCCTGCATAGCTTCCATTTCCCAAACAGATGAAAGACAGTCTCATACTGGGTGCACAGCAGTGACTTAGTTTGGAAGGGACAAAGCAAGTCCATGTGCAAAGTTTCTCTTGTGCAGTTGTCCCACAGAGGACTGACAGATCCTCTTTCATTTCTGTGGCACCACCTTTGCCCTGTTGTCTTGTGACTGTTGCCATGACCCATATCCAGCTTTACTTTCCAGTTGTGAGGGCTGTCAGATAAGTTTGTATGTATCTCAAAAATGCAGTTACAGCTTGCTTGTTCTGCCATGTTTAAGGGAGATGCTGGGTTAGAGGTAATTGGATGATAACCAAATCTGTTGAGTTTTTAAGAGTATAAGCTCCAAAACTTCCACTCTTGAAGCACAGAGCACCACAGCTATAGGATTTTTGAAACCCAGTTTGAATGATAACTGAAAAAAAATTGAAGAAAATTAGTGTTTTGTCAGGTCTAGTAAAGAGATAAGAGTTGGTTATCTGCATGGAAAAACATCAGTATTCTGTGAACACATGTATTAGGCATACATGTTCTGTCAGCTCTGATGTAACGTGGCTTTCTGTTTCAGGAGATGAGTGGCCTGTACTCCCCGGTCAGTGAGGACAGCACAGTGCCACAGTTTGAAGCTCCCTCACCTTCACACAGGTATGGAGCTTGCAACTCAACTTGCCTTTCAAGCTGTACATGTTACACTCTACTTGCTAGTGCTTTCCAGGCAGTACCCAAAACACGAGAAAAAACAGGTTTTGAGTGCTGTACATTATTTTCCTATTGTGTTTCTAATTGGTATAAACTTTTTGTGAACAAAGAAGTGAAGAAAAAGCCATCTGAGCCTGCGTTTGGATGAAAAATCTGCTCTGAATCAGATGCCATGGAAAACCGATGGCTTTAAATGTCATGTGAATTAGTAAACTTGAGTCATAAGCCTTTGCTATGAAATAAAATTTTGCTGTTATTTATGTGCTACCTTTTCTGAGCATTATGCAGTTCTGCTTGGCATATGAAGGGTCTTAATTTTGTATGATATTGAAGTGCTCTGGCTTCCCCAGTCAGCATGGATAGCTAAAGGTATGGGCTCAGATCAAAATGTAAAATGTACAGCCTATTGATTCTGTTTATCTGCTGTCTGTTTTGATTTAATGAAATACCTTTCTAATAACATAATTTCATGTGTATTTTTGTCTGAAATATTGCATAGTCTGGTTTCTTGATGACAATATTGCACATGCTTCTTGTATCCAAGTTGTAAGTGCCAGAGTTTGAAGTGCCTTACTTTACAGATGGGTCTTTTGCTTTAATTTCAACAGGGCCAAGTTATGTTATTAAGTGATCATCTCTCCCTCTTAGAAGTAGAGCTCTCTAAACTGTCATTTTCTGTGTTATAAAATTGTACTGGTAGATATTTTTGCAGTTAGCTGCTCTAAACCTAATAGCCCAGAAGTAAAAAATGATCAGATTTCTTCCCTGAGAGAGACTTAAACACAGTGCTGTGGTGAGGAACCCAGCAACATTTGCTGGAATTTCCTACTGAGAAGCTACTTCTGGACACAGAGACCAATATCTCTCATATTTCTGTGAAGCTCTGTCTGCCCTGAGGGAAAGGACAGGAATATGGTCACAATGAATGGGAACACATTTCTAATTCAGCTCTTCACTGCTTCTGCACTTCTTTTTGGGTGCAGATTTGTTTCTTGATATGGGGTATTGCTGTTTTGCCAAGAAGCAGTTTTGTGAAACTGATGAGATTCTTGTCAGGTTCTACTACTTTTCTGGTTATTGGCTATTAAATAGATTGGTTTTGCTCTATGGTACTGATGCTTGGGGTAAAATTGAGCAATGATCAGGCTCAGTTTGTTAGATGTTAGATGCCTTCAGGCCTAGAAGCCTTTCTCTTTTAACAGGAGATTGTACTTATTGGTAGAAATGTATCTCTATTACTTGAGCTAAGCTAACAAACAAGCCCCCAAAGAACTTTTTTATCTGTTGAAGGCTGGAATAAAATTTAAAGCCCAGGAGTTTGAGTAAAAGAGTTGAGGGGGGAACAGTCTGCAGTGAGAACTAGACTGGTTTCAGTCTACTAAAAATTTCCTAATAATCCTTTACGCCTATTTATTTCATGTCCTAGGGGTCAATCAATCTCAGTTCTTGCATTTGAAGATGTAAGATAGTATAAAAAAAAATTTGTAATGATCTTTGGATTGATGTGCTTCACCTGGGGTCTGCTGGGAGGTGGCAGTGGGTTGGAGCCATGATGGGTGCAGAGACCATGGGCTCTTTCTTTACCTGCCTGTCTGGGTCCATCTTGCCTGGGTCTTGAGCTTTGGGGTTTTCCTCCTGGTACAACATGCCAGGGGTGTGATATAATAGGATATTTAGGTGTTTTTTAGGGAATGTGGGTTTGCCTTTTTCTCTCTGCTTTAGAAGATCCCTTATCTTTTTCATGATGTTCCTGCATTAAGAAATAGCCTTGAGTGGTAGAAGATAAATCAGTATGTGAAGGAAGTGTCTGAACATGCATGAGTTGTTGCCAGTAGTTACTCCTGTAACTTCTACCCACTCCCTATTTTTATATAGTTTTATATAATTCAATTGATTTGCTGTGAATTACCATAAATGAGATTCTAGGAAGGTCTACCACTTGAAACTAATTTTATTTCCAACATTAAGTGTAAGTTTTGAAGAATATCTCAACAATATTCCTCCTTGGCAAGATTGCTTCAGAACAGCTGATATGAAATGTGCTGATTTTTTTCATTTCTCTTAACTGAAATATTTAATCTCCAGAGTGCATTTTAGAAATGCCATGAACCACTAAGAGTGAAATACAAATATAGGTTGGGATGGATTCACTTCCATGTTAAAATTATATTGAACTTGCAGAGACTCTTTAGCTTATCAGTGAATTAAAATGGTGTATTTAAATTGAAATATAACTTAACATACTTAACACACTGCTAATGAAATGTAATTGTATAGCACTTTGGTAATGTGCCTTATAAAGAGTACAAGGTTATCACAGACTAGTGCTGAGAGGAAGAAAACTTCTTTAGCCTTTGAATTTAAAGTTCAAGAAAATAGAGTTCTTTGGAATTCAGTTTTATCTGGTCTCTGGTGACTTGCCCTTATTCATCTGCTCTAAATCTAAATCACAGGTTTGCTTCATTAATTTTCTGTTTCTTTTCATTGTTTATAGCTTTTTCCTCCCCATTCTTAATATCTTCAAAATGTGAAATTACTTTGCCTCCCCCCAGCTTCCTTCAGAAGCTCTTTAGCAAAAAAACCAAGCACAGCTATGATGTTCAGTACATCCTTGGCTGCAAGAAACACGTGTTTTCTCTAGTGCCTACGCAGGCTGTGATGAAACATTAAATTGGGTAATAGCACAGTGCTTGTTTACAGTGTTGCCTATTGCTTGGTTCCTATACTAATAGAGAACAAGAGGGGAAGAATAAGGGAAGAGAACAAATAGTTCTGTGTATGGCTTTTCTGAACGGGCATGTGTGTTATTCTTGCTCCCAGTAAATGGTGCAAATAGGAGATAGGAATAAGCAACTTCTCTGTGATGCTATCTGGGACTAATGGCAATAACAAACTATGCCTAATAGGAATCTGAGGGAAAATTCTGATCTAGAAATGAGTTGCTTGGTAACTCTGGTTCAGTTATTGAAATCCTCATCTTCCTTCCCCTCCATTTGTTCTAATTACCTCCTCCCATCCCCTCCATCCCTGTAATGGGATTTATAGTCTGTGGGTTGCCTTGTTTGTTGTTGTTGTTGTTCGGGGTTTTTAAATGTCATATCAGTGTAGCTGAATTTTTAAACTGAACCTAATGTTACATCTTTTTTAAAAGAACTTGGAGGGCACCTCTGTAATTTTCTGAGTACTTGCTTCTTGTTTATTAAAAGGAAAAATAATCAAGCATATATAAGTTAACTCAGCTATAGGCACCACACAGAAAATCTTTGAATTTGTAGTCTGGGTAGGGAGATGACGTCTACACTCTTGAACACTTTACATCACCAGACAACCTGCAGCAAAACGAGACCAGACACTCTGTGTGACAGTCTGTGTGTTTTGCTGTTAATTGCCACTGTACCTGTCTCAGAGTGGAGTACTTCTTCATTGCTTTCTAGCTGAATGTGTTATTCCTGCAGTTCTGGCAGGATCTGCTGTCCATGTTTCATTATTTTATGCAGCCGCATTCTAATTTAAAGTTCATTGTCCCCAGCTATGCCTGAAATGGCTCTGCTGTTTTCTGCCTTACAATAGCTTCTGCAAATTATTTTTATCCCTCAGATTTTCTTTGTTTGCAGCTTTTGTCTTGCCTGGAACAGAAGTCAAATCAATCTCATTTTCCAAGTTAATTTTTTAAGACTCATCAGTAGTTATGTCTCATCTTCTGTTTCCACTTCCCTCCACTTCTAGGGGAGCTTGAAAACTTTCATGGAAATATTTAAGCACTGGTACCATTGATTCATTCTTGCAAACTTACAGGTGCCCTGCCTGGCATTTCAACCAAACCAATTTGTTTATGGCCAAAAGTCTCAAGTTTACACATAAATTCTGTTGGCTGTTACATAAGCAGGAATTGGTACAATTATCTTGGACAAAACCAAGACCTACAGCAGTGTTCTATAAGCTTTTTAAAGAAATCTTCAGCTTTCTCAGGCAATGCTTAAAACCTAAGGTTATCTCATAAGAAAGACTGAGAATACTGAGAAAATGATGCCAGCTAGTTTCTTCTCTGTCCAAGTCAAATGACATAGCAGAAGTAAAGTGGTTAAAAATATTTTTTTAGAAACAAGTCATGGTGATTTTCATAATGTGTTCTGCATAATGAATAAAATTGTGCTCTTGTATGCTAATCTTTGCCTGTCATGGAAGTATATGAAATTTGAGTGATAAATGTGCTTTAATCTGGCTCTGGTGTTTTACTGTGGGAATTTTTTGCCTGTACGTCCAAGAGCACTGAACCAGCAGTTTTCTGCTTGGATCAGGAGATCTTTTTGCAGTTTCGAGAGCTAAATTCCCTTGAGTTTGCATGTCTGCTGTGTTTTGAAAACAGTGATTTAAAAGGTATGTTGTGTCATTATAGATACTATAATATGGTGTAGTATTTTCTAATAATAGTAATCCTTGCTATCAGTATTTTAATTTTTTTTAGGTCATTTCTGTATTTTCTTAATGGTCTGTTTAAACTAGTGTGTGTCTTGCACTGATTTATCTAGCTTTTCCCTTTCCAGTGTTGATTCAAATGCCAGAGCATTAAGGTCCTCTATTTTCTCTTTCATTTTTTAAGGATTTGAAAACCAGTGGTAGCATGTTATTTTCAGAATGTCTTCTCCTGCGTATTTCATACAGAAGATATGATTTTGCAATTTAATTAGAAATTATTTGACTGCACTACACATAATTGTGTGTGACAGCACTCTGCTCTAGGAAAAGCCTGTATTTAAAAAAAATCTCCTAAACTCCCAAACAAAATAAAACCTTGTGTTCCCTATCTGTAAAATGGATTTCAAAGGCAAGTATGCTGCAGAGTGTCAAGGAGGGAATAGCAAAGAGGTTAAAAATGATAAAGGATGGCTGTGCAGTGATTTAAGCAGACAATTTCTTTTATTTTTGCAGTAGTATTATTGACTCCACCGAGTATAGCCAGCCTCCAGGCTTCAGTGGCAGTTCTCAGGTAAGGTAATACATAAATGTCTGCATGGGGGGGGAGTGGATGTGGAGGTTGGGCAGGGTTGAGGTGCACCTTCTTCCATCTCCAGAGTGCTGGTCAACTGGAGCCTTGAAAATGCTTTTAACTGGTTGTATGAGCAACTGCAGCTGTAGGAATGATTGTGCCCAGTTGTGTGAGAGAGACCTGGTGTAATGTATTTAGACATCTGACTTTTTTCTTAAAGCTGACTCTTCCAGAAGAGGGGATAGAGTTTCCTCTTTATCTCCCATGTGGGTGGCACTGGGGAAGGGAGGTAAATCCCTGACCTTTTGCATTGGCTTAAATGGCTGCAGATCAAGGTTAACTTTAAAAAAAAAAAAATAATAATTTCCAGGCACAGTTGCATTGTTTGTCCTCATCAGGGCCTTTTACAAACCCTTACAAATTCATGTGGAGGGTAAAAGCTGCATATAGAAGGGAGCTGTTTGGCAGGCAGCCTCCAAACTGCCTGATCCATGGGGCCTCCTGAATTCCAAACAGCACTGCCATAGTCTTGCACCTTGGAGGGATTCAACTGTGCTGGGGAAGTGACACTCATACCCAGCTCACAGTTCCAAAAAAGTTATACAATTGGGCAGATGGACTGTTTGGCACATTCCAGCAGTGCCTTGGGTGCTCTCTGGTGATGGTGGACCATCCCCAGCTCACACCAGGACAGAACTGGTAAATTAACAGGTCAAAGTGCTGTTGGATCTAATTTGATGTAAAGAAAAAAGCACCTGGATTTTTCAGCTGGTGCACATATATGTTTGCATACAGCTGTGTAAGTAATTGTAATTGGAAAATTCCATGTACTAGTCTGTGGGGAAAATGCTGCTTGTTCCTGCTACTCTGGTGTTTGGAGGTTTTTGCTTGAAAAGAGAGTTGTAGTTCTGTGCATCTCTGGTGGCAGGGGTAATGTAGGTGGGGGTTTTCTGTTCAGGACTCCGATGTGCTACAGTGTATTTGTTCTCCACTGACATTATGTGTCTCAGTACTTCCTATTTCAAAGGCAAAATTAATAGCATAGTGAGCTGCTGGTGAGCTCACAAAACAAACAACCTAGACTTTCTAGTCATTCTGTATGACAGCCTTATTTGTGTGAGAATAATCTTTTTTGTCCTCAAATGTGATTTCTTGTTCTCAAGAGTGCAAGATCTGTACTCTCAAGTACAAAATTTTCAAATTAAACTTTAATGTATGTTTGGATTGGGAGTTCAAAGAGAAATCTTGAAGTTAAACACTTCTGTTCAAAGGCAGTCTAATTTCAGCAGGACTTTACCATAAAAACAGTTTTAAGAATTTAAATTACATTGTGGGGGTTTTCCCTAATTGTCAGTCACAGCAAAAATCATATATTGGATACTGCTGGCAGTAAGAGTTATCTAGGATGGACAGCACAGCTTTCCTTTTTCAATATAATTACTTTGTGCATTGCCCACAAACATGTTGTTAGGGAAGAATTTATATCCCACAAGGCTTTAGGACAGTTCTCTTCCAGAAGATGAGCTTCAGAAGTAAATAGTAGACAAGTCACTTAGGCCCTGTGGAATTCTTCAGGTAGTATTTAATGGCAGTACCTTTTTTTCTGCTAGAAATAAGGAGCTTGTGTGCAGATAAGGGGCTTTTTCACAGTTGTTAGAGGACTCTTTTAGAGTATCTGATGGAGTTCAGACAGTAAAATCACTCCTGATACCAGAGGAATCCAAACTGATATCCTCAGCTAGTGCAACCATAGTAGTGTTAACCATTGAATAAAAATTGTTTGGGTATCTTTTCTATCTTTCCTAATTTTTATCTCCTGTTGCCCAGTATTGCCTAGAAAGTAGCCAGGGAGCAGGCTTCTAAATATCTGGTTTTGGCAAAATGTGAGCAGGTTGCTTAGCTAAGGGTGGTCTGATGACTGTGGGTGAGTGCTCCTTGCTTGGTTCTCAGCACAGCTGGGTTGCCACCTGCCAACCTGGGACCTGCTCCACAGGGATCTTCCAGGGACACACGGCAGGTGGTGGCACAGCAGGCAAACACCTGATTGATTCCATCTCATTGTGGACTGGGATCTGGCAGATCAGGCTTGGGTTTGGGTTCTGTCCCTCATTGTGGTTCAGGCAGCTTGCCTTAACTTGAAACAATTGTGCTTTGCTTGAAGTTGTCTTGAGCCCAAATCACTAATGATGTGCTGAGAGAGACTGGAGATTTGCAGACTGGTGCACAAAAATTACAGAAGAGGCTACAGAAGTGTTCTATTAAGCATTTTTTTGAGGATGTAAAAGTTTAGAAAATGGTACTTGAAAAGTATTTTGATGTAGGAGCACTTCCCAGTGTTGTGTGTTGAGGTTGGAGCTGCTTTTGAGATGAAGCAAGCTGTGAAGACCATGGCTGCTCTCACAGACAAGTGTGAGCCACGATGTCAGTGTGTGGGAAGTGGTGGCTTGGAGTTTGCTTTTTTTCCTAAAATGTTAGATTGCTTTTCATACAGGTACAAACAAAATTTGAGTGGGCTATAAACTTATTTGTTCTCGTTAGCTTGGTGGGTGGCTGTAATGAGAACAGGCTGTTCCCCTGCATGGATTGAGGGGGAGCTGTACACGAAGTGGGTTTTGTTAGTGCCACTCAGTAGCATGATGGGCCTTGTACTTGCTCAGGGATGTTGTTATTAGGGAGCTTGATGGGTCTAAAATATTTCTAAATTTAGCTTTGAGGATGTGGTATGTGAGACTTCTTAAACAGAAGCTAAAGCAAGGAGCTCTTTGTGTTTCTTATGTAGTAGAGGGTTTCATTCCATTCTATCACTTGTGATTAAAATGGTGAGTAGTGCATTTCCTGAATTTACTTCAGCAGGAAAGATTACTTGTGCAGTTTAAATCCTTTGCTCCTACATCTCACTGTTACTGTTGGGGTAGTTTGGGAAATGGTGGCTTTAATGATGAGCTTCAGGAACTTCTTTTCAATTAACCTTTAAACTTGATGCTGTCTTTTGCTTCTGTTTTATATGCATAGTTCTACAAAGAGTTACTGAGCTGCTTCAAAAGAAGTAATTCAGTAACTAACTCATTCAAATAAACGCCTCCTTTTCTTTTAATGAGCTGTGTGCCAGGGATCTGGGGAGTATTTGTTGTACAGTCTGTTTGACTTGTGAAGCTGGAAGTTGGCCTGTGCTGTCTGTCTGTGTAAATGCAAGACAGGACTCCCCAAGGGTTGGGATTGCCTGTCCTGTGTGTAAGGCCAGAATCACTAAATTTACTAAGGTTCAGGAAACAAAAACTGTCTAAAAGCAGGAATTTGTTTTTATGTTAAAGGGTACAGCGTAGGACCCTGAGAAATAATTGTCGACAGTGCCAAGATTGATTTATTGTTGTTTTACTCTTATAACCTATCATCTATATTGTATAATTGTTTATAATTTGGTAAAATTTATAGAGGTGAAACCCAGGCCTGGCTTTTAACTTTCTGAAGTGTTCTTCCTTCTCCACTCAGACCAAAAAGCAGCCGTGGTATAACAGCACGCTGGCCTCGCGACGCAAGCGCCTCACTGCTCATTTTGAGGACCTTGAGCAGTGCTATTTTTCCACCAGGATGACTCGGGTCTCAGGTGAGTTCTCATGTGGTGTTCCACTTCTGATGTCAGGTACACTCTTGCAGAAAAGCTTTGCTTTTGGGAGAGCAGCTTTCACATCTTCCTTGCATGGGAATGTGGCTGTCCATATTTGTGTTACTCAGATCATCCCGTTTTGCTGTTCTCAACCAATCTTTGAAGTTGCTAAATTTGGAAAACTTAATCCTGTCAGTTTGGAGGGGCACATGTATTGCTTTGTAATCCCTTAGTGTGAAGGGCAACATGCACAATAAACAATTTCTCTGGTGCCTGTTGTGAAGATGCAAATGCCTGAAAGCAGTGACTGAGTTGTCTTTCCGCTAGATGTGGTATTAACCAAGTAGTTAAAAACATTGCTATTGAAATGCTACAGAGGTATAAACATAAATGCATACAATCTTCTGTATTTAGCATGCAAGAGGGCACTTGGAGGTTATCCTTTGCTATCTCAATTGTGTCTTGGTTAACAAATGGTTTGGACTATAGAAGCTGAGTGTGCAGCAGGGCTGTTGTCCCATGGGGCACACCTTGGATTTAAGGCTTGTTGTCTAGAATTAGAAGCTGTTTTCAAAATTGCCTAGATTGCCTCATTCATAATTGAGTAACAGCGTGACAGCAGCTAGAGTAATTGTTGCCTAGTGGATGCATGGGTCTTAATTACACACAAGATTCTCTTAAGAAATGAGAGGGTGAAATAACTGTCTTGAGGGTGAAGAGGGTTGTTCTGTTGCCCCTCTGGAGGAGGAACCAGCTTGGCAAGAAAAGCTTCAGGCAATGGACTATGGCAGGCAAGGGATTTGCAGCGCCAAGCTTTGAGCTGCATCCCATATAGAGTGTGACAGACTGCAAGGCAAGCAGCCAGCCCTCAGGGAGTGGGAGACACCACTTGGGGATGAGAGGAAACCAGGCACAGGTTGCTGCAGCAAAGTATCTTTACTTACAGTCTTGGAAGGCAAGGACCAGCCTCCCGAGGCAGGATTGCTGGGGTACAAACCTCATTTTTTTCCCCTCACCATGAATTTATTTTTAGTCTCTTTAAAATAAATTAAAAATAATTTTAAAAATTAATTAATAAATGGCTCCAAGTATAAAGGCTGTGGCATGTCTTAGGGGAGTTCAGTCTTAGAAGTATTTACATCTCCTACCTAGTTCAGAGCATGGACTGGCTCAGTTCTCATTGTGCACAGCAAAATGATTTTAACAAGGAATACAGCCTGTTGGGAGGTTACTTCGATATCTGAAAGTCTGGAGAAGCACATTGCATGTGTCCAGTCAGATCCCTGTGATGTGCTAGCAGGTGCTTTGCAGAATGCAGTTCTTCACAGCTCACACTGAGATGTTTTCATGCAGAGCTGTCTTGGTGATGCATAACTGTGTTTATGTAAAAATAAAACTTATTAACCAAGGATAACAAATGGGGCTCTTCCCAGCATTCCCTTGTAGAAGGCATCTTTCTTCATAATTGGAACTATAAATATGAATGCAGTGAAAATGGTTTTTTGTATTCGTATGTGTCAGTTGTACCAAGAGCAGAGGATTTGCAAGTGCAGGTTTTCTCCTAAATAAGGGATAACCTATGATACTTGATTAAGTTTTCCTCTCCTAAGTCATTCCTGCCTTTTGACACATTTTAAATAGGATTTAATGTAGATTTAAAGCTTTTTTTGCAAGAAGTGCCTCTGACTGTTCGAGTAGGGAGTGGAGACATAATATTACTGTAATTATCAAATGGCCTTGCTCTTTGACGGGAAGGTGTCTTGAGAAATAATATTCGATTTTACAGGCACACATAGAGAATAAATTATAGGAGGACTGTGTGCTTGATCTCTAAATCAGGGAAATAGAAGGGTAGCAGCTATTTGTCCCTATCGCAGTGCTGAAGGAGAAAACAGTCTTTGAAAAACACCGACGTTTGTGTTGCTTCTTGAGCTGTTTCCTGTAATGGTCAGATGCTGATGATGTTAATTTAGAGCAGCACTTTGTTCATTTTGCCCCTTTTCATCCCTCTGACATGGATAATGTATATGCTAGTACCTCTAAGCATGCTAATTACTAGCCTTCACTGTTCCTTTTTATATGATCAAACATTAAACAGTGCATATGAGGGACACTTCAAAATGTCTTATAAGTACAGAGGCAATAATTTCTGATGGCAAGGAATTACCAGAGTGCAGAAATGATTATTCTCTGTGTTTTTCCACAGGAAATCACAGCTGGATTTTGCTTTTGTAGATCAACCTCTCTTTTTTCACCCTGGTATTTCCAAGCCATTCTAATGAATGGATCTTGTTATTTCCTTATGCTGCTGATAAGGCTAGGTTAAGTAGTGGATGGAATTTGATCTCTGTTGTGTGTGTCTGTGGGTGGTTTCTGTGCTGCTGCAATGGATGCTGGGGTGGAATGGGAGACAAGGTGTGCAGTACCTGTAAACCAGCAGTGTTACCTGTACTTCCCCTAAAATGCACTGGTGCAAAAACAAAGTGAGAGTGGAAGCATTAGAGAAAGGATTATGAGAATTGCTGCAAATTTGGGGGTTCATTACAAAGCCTGAAGACACTACCTAATGCTTAGCTGTGTATCCCTGATCATATTGGGAATCCAGATTTGCCTATGAGGCACTGCTGTAAGTTAGGAATTTTTCCTTATTTACAAAATAAAATTTAAATGGTTTAAATAAAATTGTTTCTACCAAGAAAAGTTAGGACTTCTGAGAATTCAGTGAATGACTTTCAACTATCTACACTGCAATTTACTTTTAACTTTTGTAGTAAACTGTTCCATTTCCCACAGAATATTTATCATCATTATTCAAGCTGGCTCAATTTCACCTTGTCTGTTGAAGGTCATAATTTTCACAAAACTTCTAGTACAGGGAGCCTTTTGGTTTCATGCTTGTCTTCCTTCTCCAGCCCTGAAATGTTTCTCCCTTAGCTCTGGTGCTTTTGGAATAACAAGAGAAGTATTTTTTACTAAAAGTATTTTGAATGTAATTGACACCAAATGTAGACATAACAGAACAGGGAAAGGAATATACATTCACCTCTTGTGAAAACTAGACGTGTCCTTTGCAGGGCATCCTGACATGCTTAAAAGTTTTCTGTTAATAATCTGCATGGCCCACGGGCTCTGAATGTGAGTAAAATAAATGAGCTTACAAAATTGTATTTGACTTCTAGGCAGATTCTCAGCATTAGGTTCACCCAGCATTGCAGTGGAGAGACTTCATTTGTGCTCTAGAAAGCTCATAATGCCTTCAAAGAATGCTAGAGATGAGAGAGCCTGGTTTTGACCAGGAATCCTCCCCAAATAACAAGCATAGGTAGCATCACATAGAGATGTGTATCTTCCTTTCTTTTTTTGGGTTTACTGTTGAGTTTACCTTCTTACTCTGTTTCTGCCCCCTCCAATGTCACTGCCTCTTTCTTCCTAGATGACAGCAGAACCACCAGCCAGCTGGATGAGTTTCAGGAGTGTCTATCCAAGTTCACACGCTACAATTCTGTCCGACCGCTGGCAACGCTGTCCTACGCTAGTGACCTCTACAATGGCTCCAGCATAGTGTCCAGGTAGGAGACACTGTGGTTCTGACAGCAGATCCATGTGGATGTGGGCTGCTGAGGCTGAGTTAATAATGCATTTTAAGCAAGTTATTGTTGGTATATATGCAAAAAATATATATTTTCAAAAAAGTTCTGCCAGTGTGTGACGATTTTGTGACTATCATTGATCTGTGGAGGCACTCAGGTACCTCAGTGTTCCTTACTGCTCCTGTTGGTGTTGGCCCAGACCAAATCCAGAACCTTGGAGGTGCCTCTATCAGCAGCTGTTCTACAAAACCTGTTGTCTTCATGTTGGCTTGGTTGTGTTTAAGTGATGCAGTTCTAGCATCTCAAAAATGAACCATCTTGTCCAGTAGTCTTAAGAATCTGTGGTGGTTTTACATTTTGTTGATCAATCCAGTCACAATAGCAAATATTAAAAAGCTGAGTTGTTTTTAGCTGTGATTGCTTGAAGTCTTGGGCTTTGGAAGTTGTTTGTGGTGCTGAACATAAGTGAGGTGGTGGCTGTGGTAAAGCCAATGCAATAGTTCTGTTCTTGCCAACAGTTCTTCTGTATCCCTGCTGTGCAGGGTGGTCATGTCCAGTGTGCTGCTGCTGAAGCTCATCTGAGCCTCCTGTGGACCAGTTTTGACACATAGCTGGTGAAATGATTTTGACTGGTTTTCAACAGAATCAGTTTCTTCTAGTTCAGGCACATGAACCAGCTACCTTAGGGACCAAGGCTTAGCCCTTAGGCTATAATTATAGAGAGCACAGGAAGAGGATGGGAATTGCCACAGCCCTAACCTTGTTTCTCTCTACCCTGGGGGTTTTGCTTATTTGTGGTAGTTTGTCTTTGGAGCATCTTGGGGTGGAAAAAAGGATGGAACATGTTAACTAGGATATCTTCTCTGCATGGTATATGTTCAGGACCTGTCTGAGCTTCTTTGCAAGCACATTTCATTAATTTAAATGTTTGTTCACAGCAGTCTCTTGAGAGAAGTATCCATTCCTGGTTTAGATATAGGGAGTAGGAAATCCAAAGAGACCGTACATGAGGTCTTGGAAAAAACATGTTGACAAGATAGATTAAATTTGGGGTTTCTGACTTTTCATCTAGTGCCTTACAAAGGGGCCACATGGAGAGTGACAGAAGAGCTTGAATTTTTGGTGAGGAACCCCAAGAAATTTGCACTATGTGAAGAAATTGAGGCATGGTGTATCACAGAACACATTTTGTTTAAAGCAGCATTGATTCCTTAACTACTGCAATATGTAGCAGGAATGTATAATGTCCGACTTAGCCAGAGGTCAGAGCACAGCAATCAGGGATCTGACGTGTATTTAACCTGCACTGATTGGGTTCACACCAGCTGCAATGAAATGCAGATGGGAATCTCACTGCAGTGTAGACAAACTTTCTCAACTACCAGATTCAGCATGGATTGGATTTTGCTCCTTTGCCCTTTCTTCTCCTTGGCATTCTGCAAGAGCAGCATTTTTGTGGTATTTGGTTAGAAAATGCTGGAAGGACAGTAAATCACACTCCTGTTTGAAGGCATTGTAATTATTAGATGAAATACAAGTTTGCAAAGAATGTGTGTTACTGTTACAATGAAGATATAGTGAACCCTTCTTCTAGCCAGTCCTAGAATTGGTGATTAAATGTATTTTACTGAAAAATAACTTGGTTTCCAAGTTGATGTTCTCCCCTGCTCATGCTTTTTGTTTATCAAAGCATTTAAGAAATTTTTAGGGGTTTTAGCATGTAGGCTGGGTAAGACAGTTCACATCTGAGCACATCCTTAAGTGCTTTGGTAAAGTGGCTTTGCTGATTGTGTTGCTGCCATTGTTCTTGTTGGCTTCTAGCTATTCAAACAGTTCCTGTAAAGTCAGAATTTGTTAATCAAGAATTTACAATTAGTATGTGTTGGGCAACACAATTTAGTGTTCACCTTTTTTTTTGTTCATTTAAACTAATAGCCTCAAGTTCAGAGTCTGTGAAACTAAGTAAGAGCCTTTTGTGTATTCATGTAGGTATTCACAGATGAGCCAAATTAAGATACTTAAAAAGTGAAATTGTGCTTTTAAAGTACTGTGAAAAGTTTTATTGTTTAGTTCACTACATGGATCTTTCAAGGTTTTCCTGGGTATGCAGTAAGAAACGGTGATGAAATGGCAGAAGGTTAAGTCTTGGTGTTTAGCTGTTGAGACAAATGGATTTAAATACAGAGTTAATACAAGACTGATACATAAGGAGCCTTAATAAAATTTTTAGGAAGTATTTTAAAGGGATATTTTTAAGCATACTTAGGAATAAAAATAATAGTGACCAGAAGTTAAATTACCTTAAGTTTGCTTGTTTTCTTTTTATAAATAATCTGCTGTTACAGATGGACAGAATACAAGAGTGTTTGGTTTGATTGCTTTAACCCAACATGAAGTTCACAGACAACTCCAAAAGATCTGCTGGCTTAAACAGCTTTTTTTTTTTAACATGTATTACCTTTAGCTTCAGAAAGGAAAAATATTTAAATATTCCTTATCTGCAAGACATTGATGTTTAGAAGTGAAATAAAATTAGGTTTATGCTAACAGGGTGAAAAGTGTAATTAAAGACTGTGTACAAATAGGCTGAAAAAATCCTGAAACTGGGCAGCAGCAATACCCTCCTGAGAGCCTTGTGGTAAGAATGTTTATGGATGTCTGGACTGACTGTGGACTAATATAAGTGCTGTAAACATATGTATATTGTGTTACTAAAAAAATTCTGATTAAATGTTTAGGAACACTCCAGTTCCCTTCTGGAAAGAGGAGGCAAACCAGGAAAATTTCAACCCTTTGTCCCCTATTTTCTTCAAGAATAACAGATTATCAAGAAAAATGTTTAGGGAAAGCACATTTAAGGCTTTGCTATTGCAGGTTACCCAGTTGTGCTGTAACATTAAGGGGACTTCAGCATGCTTGCAGTATGAATGTGCAAATATCTCAGTATGCTAAATGGCTTTTTAATACACTTACTTCTCTTAAGTACAAAGTATTTACAGTTTTCACAAGTATATTAAATTCTGTTAGAATTGGGCCAAGGAATAAATTTTCCATTTATTATGCCCCCAGACAGAGCAGCTGTCAGAGCTTAACTTTCCTTCTCTCTGCTGGCAGTGGCAGTAAATGTAAAGTCTTTCTTTTAAAGATGAGTCTGTAAACTGCTGCGTTAGCATTACAATGATTTATGGAGAAAATTGCTTTACCACTGTCAGAGGCCTTCAGAGAATAATATGGCAGTCTTTCATATTTGAGAAAAAGAGCAGGAAAATCCAAGAAATGTTCTACAATGAGGTGACTCTCCAAAACCTGGGTATCAGAAAGCTGGTTCTCCCTGCTCCATGATTCCCAGCTCTTGGGAATATGAGTAGGCTCTAAGGTTTGGGGGCATTTTGTGGGTTTTTGTAATTGACTCAGACTTCAAATGGTTCTAGATTAATTTACTATTTCTGTGGAAGATCTAAAAGTGACATTTAGAAGGTTTTGGATAGCTAGCTGTATCTAAAGGCTCAGTGATTTACAGAGAGGGAAATAACTTGTGGTTTTGGCTGCAGAAGCCTTGCTCAACTCATCTGTTGAGTCATGATCCAGTGTTCAAAACCTGGATGCTACCTTTGGTGCCCATTATATTTTATTCATTGCTTGCTCATTATTCCATTGCTCCTAAGTAATGAATGAGATTTGAAGAGGTATCTCTTAGCATCCAGACAGTATGATTAAGTCTGTTTCAAGATTGCATTTTTGTTTGTGTTCGCCCTTTCAGTAACATGACCTGGAATCCTTTCTTCAAAAGCGAGCTTAAAAGAAAAAATCCATTATGAGTGAGTTTGTCATGTGTATTCATTGAACTGTTTCATTTTTCTGTTCCTCTTTTTACTTTGGACTACAATTACTTGTCTGTATAAATTATCAGATCCAGACTTTAACAAGAGCCTTTTAGTTCTGTATCTACCATAACAAGCTGCTTTTTTTTTTTCCTTTTTTTTAATGTTTGGGCTGCCTAGGATTAGAAGAGCCATTTTATTAAGTTTGTGACCAGCAATGCTTCTTTATCTTGCAGGTAAAGATAAATGAATGAAATGTAAGTGGGTTTATCCTTTACAGGATTATGTTTGAGTGCAGTAGATGCTGCTCCTTGAGAAATGAGGAAGGCTGGATTTTACTTATAGCCTGTTAAATAAACCATTTTTTAAACGAACTCTTATTTACAAGTGGCAGCTCAAAACTGTGGATTAATCCATTTTATTTGAACTGTTCCCAAAAGTAGAAGGGAGAGAGAAATGCTTGGATAAGGAGACTTAAATTGCAGAATTACCAAGGAAACTTATTTGTGCTTGTCCTGTGGTTCTCTTACCTTCCTTCATCTGAACTTCTGGCCTGAAGATCAGACATTGTCTGAGGCTGAAATGAGATTTTTGTTTAATTAGAGCTGAAGTGAAGAGCCTTTCCCTTACTTTCCAATCTTTCTCTGGAGTGCTGAACTGATGTATTTCCTAATACATGACTGTGGTCTGGGTCCCTTGAGCAGAAGTTAAATGTGACTTGTACCCAGCAAAAGGGTTATGCAGGGGTCAGTTCTGATCTCTGAATTCAGAGTTCAGGGACACTCTACCCTGGAACACAGCCCTCAGAGTCCCCAGGATGGGCTGCTGGTACCAAGAAGGACTGACTCCAGAAAAGAGCTTATTTGCTCTTATCTCCAGTCTTGACCTGAAAAATAAACTTTCTGGTGGCCACAGTGATGCTGCAGAGAGGTTTTTTATTTCATCGACATAGGAGCTAAAACTTAAATAACTTGAAATTGTGAGGTTAATGAATGGAAGTGGCATGGCTGCCAGTGGGACCTCATTTTTTTTTACTAATTTCAGATGATTTGGTAGTAGGAAGATCTTTTTCCCATTAAGCTCTCTTAGTACTTGAAGCCTGTCTTTATCTGCAGACAATTAGATGAGAATTTTTAGTTGAATTTCAACTTTATGAAT